AGCGATTCTTTAAATTAATAAATCACTGGCTATGATTGCTCCAGCCCCCTTTCTCAAATATGAGAGTAATGGGTTTGTGCTGCCAACATAACCCACAAGCAGATCAAATGTTTGTGTGATTCTGTTAAACATGAATCAGTGCACAATTGAGCTATGTATCTTTTTTTAAATAGTCTGTTCTGTTCGACCCAAAAACAACAAGAAAACAGAACAAGCACTTCCACGTTGCACAGATCACGGTAAATGAGTCGAATAGGAAACTGGGATCGATGCAATTTACATGGCCATATGTTCATACTCTGCATTATAATCAACAGAGATGCATATGGAGCAGGCATGGAAATGGTGACTACGGCTCCCTGAAATAGTTCCCTTCTTTCTGCCCTGTATTTTTATTATTACAAACTCTCCATAAAATCTACTTCCAAAATAAGGAAAAAGAAAGTAATTATGTATATAAAAAATGTCTTCCTCTAGCCAAACATGTTTCTTGGCTCGAATAACCAGCGAATAAGTATCAAAGGGCTGTGTGGTAGTGTAGTATATCAAAAACAAGCAAGCCTACCAAAAACGACACACATATCTATCACACACACACACCATATAGACGCAAGATTAATATAAAAATGCATGTTTTATAAAAAGAACCAAAAAAACAAAAAACAAACACAAACCACACAGACATTCTATTTACAAATATATATTTCTATTATGGACAAAAAGCGGGCTGAGGGCTTTTCATTTTCCTGTACACATGCAATTTGGAAGGATTGTCAGTTACAAAGTACCTTAGGTTTAGGAGCCCAGGAGCAACAATATATCACTATCTTACTTGTGTCTGGACCCATGGTTAGGTTTATAAGAGTTTGTTAGATTATTTGTGAAGGACATGGGCTGTAATACGAGAGCAAAAGGGACATCAACTTGCTTGTTGTGCGCCATGAGTTCTTGGTTTTTGTACACTTAAGCACCTGCCAAAAGTGACAGAATTGGACATGAAAGAGCGCCTGTCAACACAAAAACTCTGGAATTATACAAAATATATGCGCGTGTGAATATAAATAGCAGTAATCAAATCTCATGGGTCAGGTGACCTAATCCAGCATTCAACCTTCCCTGTTTTGGTTCATGATGTCACTCGAGCCCTTTTTAGTGATTAACAGATTGCAATTCACAGTTACCTCATTAATTCGATATATAAACAACACTGTCTTAAAAAAGAGGTGCTACTTCATCTGGAGATATATGGGTTAAATCCGCCCTCTCCCCTCCTTCTCCCCCCCCCCAAAAAAACAAAAAACAAAAAAAAAGCCTCTTCCATTGCTCCTTCTACAGCAACTCAACAGCTGTATTAAAAATTAATCAGTAAAGCATTTCAAGTCTGGAAAGATTTGTAAGTAAAGAGAGCCAAACTCATATATCTTTTATAATGAGGCATAGTGACTGAATCCCGCATTCACTGTTTGCAAACCCAGTTCTGGATGGAGATTCCTATTATTGTTACCATGAATAAAAAATACATTTAAAAAAAATGTATATGAAATTCATAACTGCTGAGCATACATCTGTAACTGGTGATTCGATACATACGTTGAAGACAGAATTTTTTTTTTAATTTTTTTTAAATGGTACAAACTAGTGGCTAGCCCTGAGTCTTATTAAAATTATATGAATTTTAAAAAGCTAATTTGTCCCAGTAATTTTACATAAAGCGAAATAAAGGCTCCACAAAACAGATGTTAATTTACAGCCATAACAGGTCACGTGCCATGAATTCATGTTCCCCAATTAAACATATCCATATAGCGCCAGAATAGAGGTGGAAGGGAAGTTGCACTGTAGTCAAATAGATTTAAACTTTTATGGCTTTGTTATAAAACAACAAAGGTATTAAGTGTTTTCAGACTAATTTGAGCAACTCTGATCTCCCTTTCAGGTCCTTATGGCTAAATCTTGACCGACGTGCAACGATTTATAGATGTCAATAGAATCTACTGTGAATTATGCTCATGCAATAGAATTAACAGCCACCATTAACTGCCAGAAAGCCTGCAGTCATTCATTTTATTTTACTTATGCAAGATTAAAGGGCCAGTTTAACATATTCACTAACTGTAGTGGTTATGGTACAAAGGGTTCACGGGTGCTGCCCTTGGTTTGTTTCAAATTACTTTAGAGTCGTTTGACAGTAATAATTGGACGGCAAAATGTGGAAATCCACAGAGTTTCATGGCCCTTTTGAAAAGGGATACGAGCTTTACCAAAGCAGGCATTCTCAAATTACTTCTTCATTTGCATTATTTTAGCAAAGACCTTGGCCATACGACATCACACACTAACATTCTGGCAATGCACGGCTTTATATGTGAAAATATGTGGATCCTGGCCACCACTAAAGACAGGTAACACATACTTATTCTTGAATATATAAAGAAGGGCCCTGTGAGTTGGGGTAACATTTGTCAAAATTCTTCTTTCTAAAACTCTTCTCACTTTCCAGCCAAGACTAAGACCACATGTACACCTGTCGGGATCCCGCGGGCGGCTGCGAGGGGAGGCTGCACTCCGCTCGCGGTACTCACCCTCCAGCCGTCCGCGGTCCCCTCCTCCTCGTGGGCTCGGCGAGCAGCATCCTTCCAGCGTCGGATGCCGCCTGCCATTTCCTCCATGTCCCCCAGCGGCAGCATACATGACGCTGCACGCTGGGAGACCGCCCAAATTATTACACGCCGGGGTCAGTCACCTGACCCGGCGTTAAAGGCACAGTGCCTTGTTTAGATATCTCCCACGTGTGATTGTTAATTCTGATTGGAAATTATCCAATCAGAATTAACCTTATGGTTTAAATACTTACCTTTCCTGTTCCTCCCTGCCCTGTTGTGGTCTTTGCTTGCTAGTATTGCTACTTACCTTGTGTTTCTGGTTACGTACTCTCTGGCTTGTTTATCTGACTTTGTGACTCTCTCCTACCCTTTGATCACGGCTCGTTTCACGTTATTCTGTCTTCTGGTTCCCCTTACTCGGCTTGTCTCCTGACTATTCTGTGTGTGCTTAGCCCGGCCACTCTTAGGTCCGGTACGGCACCTTTTCGGTGTGTGTGTGTGTGTGTGCCAGCGTGTTGGGTTCCCCGAATCGTGACACACCACCTTCCACCTTTAAAAGCTCTATTGCTTATTTATTCAGATAAGACCCAAACAGTATTTTCAGAAACCCAATTCTGTGTCTTAGTAGAAATGTAGGTGAAATTCAGGAACACGAACAATGCAAAAGGTTTTTCAAAATAAATCATAAAGACAAGCTCATTCTCTATCCTTGTAGGGAACACTGCAACATTCCCACGGTGAGATGATACATTATAGTGACCAAAATTTGCATTTATTCACTCCACCACTTCAATATGGAACACTGACTTTGGAAAATATAGTAAATATAGCCAGATGTGGTGGTAGTCTGACCAAATTCAAAGAATAGAGAAAAAATGTAATATTTTTTTAGTGATCAAATGTTAAATACCATTTTGAATGAGGCTATTACCCCCCACACAAGGCTGACTATTGAAAAGGCACTCTCAAAATCCCAAACAAAACCAAAAACAAACAGTTTTCACATTTATTATGTTGTATGTAATTCATCACAGAACAAAGCCAAACGCTGGCAATTTTATTTTGGAATAAATTAATGTAACCATCCATCATCAAACATACTGTTTCCCCACATTCAACCCCACAACGGGACTTTATTCCAGTTCATTCTTAATGAGACAGTCAGTTTCTTGACCATCTCGTGATTTTTAAGTGATAAAGTAATTGATAATGCCTTCGGCCCCCCACCGCCATCCCAATTACATTATTTTATTTTTTTTCTTACCTGATCTGCCTTCCTTGTATTACCTAGGTCTTACCTTACCTGCCTTACCTTACTTGCATTGTCACATACATGTTGAATGTACCTTCCTAAACCGAAATATCATAGAAGAAAAAGGTATATGTGGAAGGAAACTTAATTATTATTTTGCTTTACTTCAAACCAACAGAGAAATGCTCTACATTACAGAGATTTGCTATTTATTTTGCCAGATATTGATGATTATATAGAAGAAAATAAAATGCCAAAACCAATATTTACATACAAGCCAACAGGATTTTCAGACTTGACAAAGACAGAGGAAAGTCAGTGGTAGCAAGCGTTTTTTAATCCATGTCCACAAACCAACAATTGAAAAAAGGAAAAGCCTTTTCTGGGGTGCATATTTTTGTAACATTTTCAATATACACAAACTGTAAATTGGTAAGCAGGATCTACCCTACAGCAACTCATTCCTTCTCGAATAAACAGGGGAAGGTGCAATGTCATATCGGAACAAAATTCCATCTATTTGATTTAATGTAGTTTGGTTTTTTTTTAACCACTTGTACAAATACCCACAAATCACAATGCTGTCAGTTAAGCTGATTTAATATACCCGCTCTACCCACACAAATCTTAAATTACTAGTGAAAAGCTGATGGGCCGTAAAGTGCTTGGTTCTGCACCAGAGAGAATCCACATCAGAGAACGCTTCTCCTGATAATGAAAAGTTGTATTAACAAGGAAACCACTATTGAGAATGTGGCCGATTTCTACAAACCATGACGCTCCGACAAGATTCCAGAAGCCAAAAACTAATTTGTAATATATACATATGTAGTTCAAGAAACTGTATTACTAAATGTCAAACAATACTGTAAGTAATAATTGTTTGTTACGTTGACAGACAGGAAAACATTTTCAGGCTTACAGAATTGGGTATAAATAAAAAGCAAGCAAGTCTCCATTCTATTTTTATCCAACTACAGGTGTCGACATTAAGTGGGACCCATGCATAGGGGACAACTAGATATTTTTCAGGAGCTAGTGAGGAAAAAAAAAGTAAACAAATATAGGCGTGGATCCTGGAACTAAACAAGCCTTGTGCTAGAATAATTCTAGATCTGAGATGGATAGTTAACAGTTGTTGTGGAACTACTAGATCAGGGATAGACAACCTTTGGCACTCCAGTTATTGTAGACTACATCCCCCATAATGCTCTTACAATCATAATTCTGGCAAAATATCAGAAGTGCCAAAGGTTGCCTATCCCTGAACTAGATTATGGCTGGCAAATCATTGTAGGCATTGCAGCTGGCTCCAGAACAGCTACTGAGCTGGGTGTCACCAACCCCATTGTAGATCTTATGTTATTTATGTTACCTACATAATGACGAAAGTAATGATACCAAAGTATTTAACAAGCAAGGAAACATGCCATGCCAAAATGTTATTCAGCTTAATGGTGCTCATTTTATCAACCTAGAAAATAGGCTTTTCTTCCTCTCTCCTCATGGGAGAGGCAGAAAAGAGACAACAGAAATGTTTAAACAGGCCCACATTACATTTGATGGAACTAAGAGAATGAATGTCTCTTGTTTTCTATTTATATAGAATCGAGCAGTATATATCTTTCTTTTTCATTCGGTCCCTTTCTCCTTGAGATTGCTCCCGGCAAGAGAGATTTATTCAGTGTGTCTTTTATGCACTGTGTTTTATGGAGCACATTTATTTGATTAAGCCTTCGCAGAAACACACACTCTGCAATGCCGCTATAGTGTGCTAATTTATTGGGAGGATTAGATACAATTGTTTTTACCAAGCAAGGCCTTTAATGTCCAGAATGCCCTGAACATAAAACAAGACATTTGCTTACTAAGCTATTTGTTTTGTACTAAGATTAGAGTGTTGGTAACACGACATTTGTCCTCTGATTTTGCTCATGCAGTTCTGCTTTCCATTGCTCACTAGACATTGTACGCAGTGCACTGCATTACCTTCTCAACAACAAACAGACCCTTTAAAACCAATGTCTGAAGCCATCTGAGGTTAGTGCTCCTACTATTTTAATGTCACACCACCAAGCGTAACCACAGCTTGGGTATCCTTAAGAAGAAAAAAAAAATGTTAAATGGAAAACATACTATGTTGGATTCCAACTTTTCACACGGCAGATATCTGTAAATATTTATCATGATGCTCAGCGATCTTACAGAAACAATAGAGATTGCAAATAAAAATCTTTACTTTTAGGCTGAAGTGTTTTTAACATGATTGGGCCCCCACTCTGTCATATCTATAGCGTTTACATCACTTCAATACAGAGGCAAGAGGGTCCCACGTCACAACTCTGCTTCATGCTGTGAAGCAATGCTATTCATAAAAAAAGCATAGCTTTTGATTTGTGCTAGAACACAACTCCCAACTGTCTGTCTGAGGGTGCAAACTTGTCACTTTATAAAAGTGACCATTTCTTTTCAAATCAGCAATTTTATAAAGTAACAAAATGGGGACACTCCATTAACCCCTGACGCATACATACGTATTTGTATGAATGACTAGGAAAGAGATGAAAATAATGTGTAGAGAAGAAAAAACTGAATGAATAGGAGAGGAAGCAGGTAAATAAAGAAGGGAGATATTAGATGAATGGTGGGGGGAATTAAATAAAGGCAAGAATGAGATGGAAGACAAGATAGAATGGGATAACAGGGAGATATGAGATGCATGGAAAGAAATGTAGTTATGGAGAGACAAACTAAAATGGACTGGAGAGAAAGAATTGGATGGGAAACAAAAAACGAAGAGCACAAGAAATAAAGGGGAGAGACGAGATGAACAAAAATACCTGTGCATAAAATAATGATGGATTCTGACCAGTGATTACAAGTTTAAAGTAATGGACAGTTGGTGAGGCACTCAAAACGGTTTTATATGTGTAGGAATAATAAGTGGAATTGAGATGTGACTATTCTTGTACTATATGTGTATAATGTGTGATGGGAATTGAATGATAAAAAAAAAAAAAATAAGAGAGTCTGGGGAGGAACACGATCCCTGCGGAGGCAGGATCCGCGATAATACACCTGCCAGGTGTTGCAGAAAAGATTTCGGGACAACCCTTGATTAGGGCCTGTGGGTCTACTTATTCTTCTATGCTATTTTAAGCACCATCATTTTTATTTCCTCTCCTGTTTTATTAATATTATAGAGTTTTCCAATAGGTTACAAGCTTACGATTTTCTATTCCAAAGTCCTTCATCGACTTGTTATATTAGTCACAATTTGTCTATTTGTCTTATGGCAGTCTTTCTGTTTATTATTATAAAATACTGTGTGGATTACTATGGCTTCGGCCAGCTTTTATTGTGTCACTTCACGACAAAGATAAAAAATCTGGGTATGAACAAGACCTTTCAGATTTAAGAAGTGGCCGATTGGTGCAGATTCTAAACAGTCATTAAATGGAGTCTGACTGTTTGGCTGAGGTCATTAAATGGAGTCTGAAGTTTTGGTTTTAGCTAAAGCTCTGGTCCTTGTGGGAAACTAGCAACAATATGAGAAAATGTGATGCATTTTATACGTCATTCTTATTCTATACACGTGGCAATTCTTCTGTTCATCTTAAGATGTGAAATCCATGCCATTCCACCGACGTTTCGGTGATTGTTACCTCATCAAAAAAACACAAAAAAAAAAAACTGTAGAATATTCACACTCCCAATTAAACAAAAATATTTATATTATAATAATTTTTTATTTTTATTTTTTTTTAAACCAAACACTATAAAACACGCAGGGCATGAGTCAGATGAAGAGAACTTCATACAATATCCATATGTAACAGATGTTAAAATAGCCTTGGCAAGGGTTAAGGTCTCATATTGACCAGTAATAGTCTATTAATAAAAATTTAAATTAAACATAAAAAAAGAACCACAGTTTAAATGAGCAAATAACAAAACAAAAAAAAAATACTCTCCCCCAACCCTCACAAAATGAAAATTACAAAATAAAGTTTTCTTAAGCTATTTTTCCAAGCCCCCAAACAAATTATCCTGAGAAAGTCCAGTACAGAGAAAGTCCATTACAGTTTTTATTTTTTAAAAGTCAAGTATGCATGCCAGCCTTGGCAATACGCTAGCTAAAACAAAGTTGTACAGCTGGCACATTACAGAGCAAAGAAAACGTTGATGTCATATCTTTTCAATGATCCTTTTTGTTTATCACCCCGAGAACGGGGCATGTTACCAGTAAATAGCTATTCCGAACGCTCGTTTCTACCTTCCAGACCTTCCCTCCCCACCCCCCCCCCCTTTCTTTTCTTAAGTGGTTAAAGAACTATGCAGCGACTTTGGGCTGTTTTATAAGCACACCTGGGAGGAATAGAGATTCTTGTTACTTCCCTTAGCCCTGCCCTGATGTGGTTTGGACCAGATGTTTAAATCTTACACTACATACATTTTCTTCTCTTCTTCCAAAGAAAAAGCAAAATAAGAGGAATATTTGACTTCACTCCACAAGAGACCTATTTAATAGTTTGGTGGTTATGTAAGTAAAGGTAGCTTGGCTAACCCAACGTTGATGACATACTAAACGACATGATCCTAATGAGTTGGAAAATATTGGCTCCCAAGAGGATCAACCAGATGCTACTGCGCTGAGAAAAGCTACTGTATTATTGAATTTCATTTTTATGAGGTAAAATTTATTATTCAGCCATTAAGGTATCCCAAATGAAATCTTACATAAAATAGTTTTACAGTTGCTCTCTGGAAAGTAGATTTCATTTTAACTTTTAGACATCATTTGCAGAAGGGATTCTAGTCCCGAGACAATGGTGTTGTGCAAGATATTCAAGGCCTGCGAGTTGTTTTTCGTTACCAAAAGCACCAGATTAATAGTTCTCTGTTGTCAGCGAAATAATGTACTACCCATTAGGGGCAAGAAACTATAAGCGGGTTTTGGTGTGAAATCTCCAGATATGTAAAGCTTTATATTTCTATTCGTTGACCAGCCCCACAAATCTCAAGAGAGTACACCTGCTTTCACGAATCCTTCTGAATACTTTAAAATATTAACTGGTTCAGGACCAGGTAACCACAAACAAACTCAACGTGTTCTAAAATGACATATTAAGGAATGTACAAAACAATGTTTGCTTTCAACAAACCTTAAAAATAGTTCTATTTAAAAATGCTGCCAGGATCTGCAAAAGTACAACATCAGAGGTTAATGGCAAAACCCACAACATCATGGCATCCACTATAAGATTCAACACGAAGAAGATGTCTAAAGCTGCTTTTTGCTTTATTAAAATCAAAAATTGGCTCCTAAATAATAAATGTGATGAATCTAACAGTATATATAAACGTGAGTTTTTTTTTGTTTTTCTTTATTTATCTTCATTGAAAACTCAAAAGTTACTTTTTTATGATTGTCTCTTTATGATTTGTGAATTCTACACACATTAGCAAGCTAGCAAATCTACAAACCTCAGTACAAAACTCATACTACACTATAAACCTTTGTTTCTTTATTTAAAATAAATGTGACAGCACACAACAATTTGACCCAATTCCATAAGATATTGGATCCCTGAACCCTTTCCCAACCATTGCCTAAACTCCTTCTCCATGGAGACCTACCTCCTAATTCTTCTTCCACAGACGGTTACTCAACCATGCATTTAAAAATAGACATTGCAGCTCTTTGCTCCTACTGTCTTAAGATACATGTCTGCAGTAAAACTACTTCCTCCATGAATAACGAGGCTTGGAACATTAAACCTGTTAAACAGTGCACCCTCTTTTATACTTGTTTCCCTTATATCTTGCTGTGATGAAGATTTACATCCACAATTGATATGATTGTTTGATGTACACCATTTTCTTGTTTTCATTAATGTAAACTATTAATGGCTCTCAAACTCGCTTACTATTCCTTTCTTCTCACCTGCTCACTTCAACTTGTGTCTGACATGAACATCTTTTCATTTTATTCTCTACCCCTATTCATTTATTTATTGCTATCTTAATCTTCACTCTTGTTGAGAAGGTTTCCATTTTTTTGGCATTTCCTATATTTTTTCCATTTTATCAAATAGCAATTATATATATATATATACTGGCGTTGCTTTTATCACTTTGTCACTCAGTGCATTATTTTTATTTTCTGCACATTTTGTGTGCTGTATAGGAAGGACCCACACTAGTGTTGTAGCAGCTTTGATTACACATTGTATTATGGGTTAACAACAGTAAGCACTCTGAATTCACATATAGT